GCTAGAAAAAAAAAAAAAAAAAAAAAAAAAAAAAAAAAAAAAAAACCTCTCCAAAAAAAAAAAGGTATAGTTTTATATTTGTTTGGCATTTTCATTATGAATTCATTGAACAAATATAAGAACAAATTTTAAGACAAAAGCACAACTCCTAGAATAGCCAATTTTAAAGTACATGTTTGTAAGTATAACTCCCATCCTAATCAGAGAAAACGTGTGATACTTTTCCATGTCAATCCCCTACCTAATTTCTCCTATTAAAAAACTGGGACTTAACAATGGACTTTAGCCTGCGCTATAAATCCACTTTGAACCAACTGAAAATAAAGCCGCCCAGTGGATGGGCCTATATTGATCTGAGGGTCCAACAGATGAAGAATTTCAGTTTAATGAAAAATACCAGGTTACTATCTGAAGTAAAAGACACACAATGGTGCAGCCAGTTTTTGACCTCATTATTGTCTTCATCCACTCACAGGAAAGCTCTGTTTCTCTCTGAGGTAAAAGGCCTTACCTGCCCAGGCATGGCTGTCTAAATGGAGAGGTGAACAAGCTGAGGTTTTCACATAACTTTTGAACAAATCTCAGGTGATGGGGAATAACCAAAGTTATGGCTTATGTGGCCAGTAACAGAGAACTAAATGAAAAATAGTTTCATAATGATAGGAACTAAAACTCCAGTCATAGTTTACATAGCTATTAAAATGTTGTTTCTAGTGCGTTGAAAATGTGCTTAACTTTAGCACATAGGGGAAAAGGTATTTATCAATTCAATATAAAGTTTGCTGAGAAATATATACATAAAATTAACTAATATATACCACATATTAAAAAGCATTTTGACTCAAGATTTGTATTTGTTTTAAATTGGAAAATCACATATACTACAAAGCATTTCAGCTGAAATTTCACCACTGCAAGAATGAAAGCATTCTTAGTGAATTAAACTCCAGTCTTTTTAATTTATTAAATTAATAAGCAAAATCTTTTTCCAGATGCAATGTAAGCAATTATTATGCTGCACTTCTGTACCAACTTTTTGTCATGTTACTAGAAAGGCATTTGGACTAAACTGATTTACAAAGTCTGGCCCAACCCTCAAGTTTTATTATTATGCCACAATTATACAAGCGTGAACATTTTTATCCTATTTACTTTGAATCTTTTCTGGTTATGAAACTAATATTGCTACAATAATGGCATTTTCATAAAAATATGTAAATGGTTTTAAATACTTTTTCCGATTATACTGGTTTAGACTATTTTTCAGTAAGTGAACAATCCTTAAAAATTCCACATAGTTTTCTAATGTTCACTTTTGTTTCCTTTGGCCCTATGGTTTATTTATGAAGCTTAATGAACGCTGCCCCGTCAAATTTAGCTGACCCAGGCTGGGCGCAGTCGTGGCAGTAGTTCACTGACTGAGGGACACACTAGATCTGACATCTCATGCTGGCTTTAGGTAGCTTTGTGACCTTGGGAAGATACTTGGTACCTCTGGGCTTCATTTTCCTCCTATTACAAATGCAGGAGACTGGATGAGCAGATCTCTGAGTTCCTTCCAGCTTCCTGTTCTATGATTTCCAGATCAGTTGCAAGAAAGTCAGCAGAGGGAGCACTTTTTCAACACTTTTTCTTATAAATTTGGACTATCATGGAAGCACCTTTCAAAAAAATCAAGGGATTTGTGAAGAATGCTTCTGAAATTAAAAACTGACAATCGTTTTACTCAGTTTTTATCTGATCACAGTTTTGATTATGAGAAAGATCTAGAAATGATCTTGGCGTCTTGAATTTCATGAGAAAGTCCCATGACAGTTATCTTGTAAACATTAAGAAGCCAAAACACCCTCAGAACTTAAGCACCCCTGTGTGGTAGTGTATTTTTACAGAACCCAGTCAAAGAGAAACACTGGACCATATGAGAGAGATTATCTGATGTCACAGAAAGTGAAAAAGGTGTTAATCATAAAAACATTACCAAATTGGGTCTAACATAACAAACCACACAAGGGATTGGTAGGTTCTTTTGCACTTTTCATTAAGATACATTGGAAACAAGCAAAGAGACACAGCCAGAGCCTGGAGGCTTGCAAGAGATTGGAAATGTGTGATATCAAGCCAATGACACAAGAAGTTGTATATCTGACTTCCATTCTATAATCACAGGTTCCTTAAAAGTAATTGAGCATCCTAATTGAGCATTGATCCACAATGCCCTTTTAATTATTAGACAATCTCATAATGGTATATTAAAGTTTTTATTCCTTAGTAAGAATTTTTAAATCACAAAATAGTGTGGCAATATTTAGGTAATAGAATTTATGAAGTGCTGAAAATACTAGAATATAAAGATAATTTCTAGTTTCTCTTCACATACTAAACTGTTCTAAACCAGCTGGTTTCTTGCAGACAGTATTTATTTATTTTTTAATAATTTAAGACAGCATAAGCTTGTACCAAGCATAAGCATTGTAACAAAAGTGCAACTTTTCAGCAAATCCTCCCCAAAAGATAGTTTAACTCAAAATATCATTAGCACATATTTTCTCCCTACAAAAATAGCATGTCAGACATCATTAATTGGATGTATTAACAACTATGTACATAAGAGCCACCTTGTAGGCTAAGAGTTTAACGTTGTTTAAACACAGCGTTTGAGGCAAACAGTAGCAACAGCAGCAGCAAATGCACCAAACTGACTAAAAGACCCAGATATTTTCTTCACTCATAGTCAGACTGTTGTGTCTCACCCCTTACATAACATTCAAGTGAGATTTCTCACAGTGCTACCTTGGCAACAAACTAAAAATATCTAGACAAGGTCTTGGTTTAAGCCTTATTAAAAAAGCTTTCTTTGTGATTATCTGGTATCTGGTTTGGTCTCCAGAAAATACATAGACTTGGAGCTAGGAAGGCCTCGCAGGGCTTCATTCCTCATCTTTACAGCATATCCAGTCAAAACTGACCAGCTTAATGCTTTCCTCCCCTTTCACGATGTAACAGAATACAGGATAAAGTCATTTGGATCTGTTTTCTAAGTTCAGTGCACTTTTTTTTTTTTAACAGTAAAATCACAAAAATTTAGGGACATGACGGATTAAATAATGAGAGTGAGAACACATGCACTTATATATGTAGATATATATGTGTATATATGTACACATATATATCCTAAGAAGAAATTAAGATTCATGGTCAATTTCTCCATAAAGTGCTAGCAAATGTACTAAGAATGATTCTGGCCTTCCTCAACCATCTTCCCTGACTTAGTTCTGACAATGGCCCAACTCCTTGTCTCTTTAAACAAGTGCAAGCTACTAATAGATACCATTTAAACCACGTCAAATAGGTTGCAACATGCGCAACTGCATCTTCACTTCTTGAAAAATATATGCCTTTCAAAAAGCTGAACATTATAAAATACTGAAGAGTAAATTTACTAATAATTCTAAAAGATCCTCACATCTCCTTGTAGAAAGCCCCCTAAACAGGCAGGGATAGTTTTGAGACAGCTCTAAGTAACTACTGGCTGTTCCTTGCCTACCCCAAAGACGTCAAAGGTGTTAGCACCTTTTCCCCTACCCTGGTTGGATTAGCTCACGCACAGAGCACACCCTCCTGAACTTCCTCTAGAATTAGGGTCCACATGTTAAAAGTTACTGGAACATGGCCTAAAAAAAAGGCAAAACTTATTTGGGAGATTCTTTAGAGGAACAAAGAACCAATATATATTGCAGAGCATCTTTTACATCCGGTGGGGGGAGGGATGTTAGGTGGTGAGGGATGAGCAAAACAGGAACTCCAAATGTACACAAAACACCTGTTTTTTTATGTTTTTGTTTTTTTTTAAGCCTGTCGTGCATCTATTATACTTCCTCCCTTAAAAAAAAAAAAAAGGCAAGGGGGTGGAGGTTTTAACTCTTTTCCCCTGCGTGAAGCTCCGTCCTTTCTAAGAAGGGTACAAGGATTCAGGGGGCTTCCTTTCCTGGCTGAGAAGGGTCTTCCTGAGCAGAGCTCTCCGAGTTCCCCGGCTCGCGGGGGCCGGCGAAGGGCAGGTGGGTGCGCCCGTGCGCGTGCGGGGGGTGCAGAGCCGCAGGGGGCGCCACCTCGTGCGGCAGGAGGGTCGCGGCGCCAGCCTTCTCGGGAGGGGGAGACAACACCGAGGACAGGCAGGGGAAAGC